TGCCGGGTCCCCCCCCAGCCACAGGGCCTTCAGGTTGAGGTGAGTGAGTGCGAACGGCAGACTCTGCAGACTGGGGGCCGGGGGCACGGTTAGCTCAGGGTGGGGGAGGTGCGGGGGCACCATGGGCGTGGGCGCCAGGCCAGGAGGGCACAGGGGCTACTCACCGGTTCCCGGCCACATCCAGCACGTGCAGCTCGGCCGTGTGGGCGAGCTCTGGCGGCAGGACAGCCAGGCGGTTGTCCCTCAAAGAGAGGACGCTGAGTGCCATGCAGCCCCCAATCTCAGGCGGCAATGCCTCCAGGCGGTTCCGGTCCACGTTGAGGTTAGTCAGCTTGCTCAGCTTCCCCAAGGAGCGGGGCAGGGCCTGGCCAGGAGGAGGGAGGATCAGAGATCAGCAGAAGCCCCCGGGTCGCGTGAGGAGGGAGGTGAGTGCTCTCGGAGGGCGGTCTCTGCCCCTGCTCCGGGGCCCCGACCCCTCCAGCCACTGGTCTCCCGCCACTCCGCACACCTCCAGACATCCCCCCGTCTGCATCCCGTGCTAACTCTGAAACCAGCCACCAGCAGGGCTGGGCCCCACCGTCAGCAGGTTCTCCGTGAGGATCAGCTCCGACAAGTTCTCACAGTCCCCAATGGCCTCCGTCACCTCGCAGAGGCGATTCTGGTCTACCTTCAAGATGGACAGCTGCTTCAGCTGACCTGGCAGCAGGAAGACACGGTGACAGGGCTCAGCGAGGCAGGGAGCTCAGTCAACCGCACGACTGAAACAGCCTGCCCCTCACCCTGCCTCCTGCACCTCGAGAATGCTGAGAGCCCACCCCCCAACCCTTGCCATCCTGCTGCCAACCTGACCACGCCCACCAGCTCCCATGCACCCGCAGCCCGCGACCTGCCATCGTGCCCTCTCGAGCTCACCATCCCCGCCCACCACCACAAACTGCCTCGGCTCCTCGGGAGCAGCCCCAGCCATCCCACTCCGGCCTCAGGCCAGTCTCCCCCTCCTCGGGGCTGTGTCCCAGGACCCAGTAAAATCAGGGTCCTTACCCCAGGAGCCCTCTCTAGACCTGGTTTCACCCCCAGCCGCACCCCTCCCAGCACTAACCAATGCCGTCAGGAAGCCGCTGCAGCCAGTTCTGGGAAAGCAGCAGGTCGGTGAGCAGCACCAGCCCCCCGAGCTCCGCAGGCAGCTCCTCCAGCCGGTTCTCCGACACATCCAGGCACACCAGGCGCCGGAGATTCCCGAGTTCCTGGAGGCAGGTGCAGAGAGTCAGGGGACTGGACAAGCGTGAAGCGGGGGCAGCCACACCCTCACTCACCGGGGGCAGGGCCGACAGCTGGTTCCGGTCCAGCCACAGCTCACGCAGGTTGGGCAGGGCCCCCAGGGTGTCGGGCTGCAAGAAGAGACAGGGACAGAGTGACGGCCAAGGCTCACTTACCCTGCCTGGCCCCGCCCCACCCACGACAGCCCCGCCCTCTCCACACCAGCACTTCCAGATCGTTGCCTCCCAGATCCAGCTGTTCCAGCTTGACCAGGAAAGACAAGGACCTGCAGAGGAAACAGAGCAAGTTCTGTCGTGGCCACACGGCCCGTGGTCCTTGGGGCCGAGAGGCCTAGGCTGGCTGCTGGCAGGGCCAAGCCCACTCACGCAGGCAAAGACTTGAGCAGATTCTCCCGGAGCTCCAAGGTCACCAGGTTGGCAAGACTGAAAAAGATCAGGGCGGGGCGTGAGAAAGGCAGGACGGTGGGGAGAGGTATAGAAACAGGGCTCTACTGAGCCCCCCCACCCCCCAAGAATGCACTCACTTGCCCACGTCCCCAGGCAGCGCCTGCAAGGACACATCATTCAGGGCGAGATGAGCCAGGCTGCGCAGCTGAGTGAATCCTTCAGGGAGCCTAAGTGGAGCAAGGGGTCCTCAGATGCCCAGGCAGAGGCTGCAGGACCTCCCAAGCCCCACTACCACCCCTGCCATGGCCACCACCCACCTGGACAAAGGATTCCCACTGAAGTCTGCAATCTCCAGGGCTTTGCAGAACTTGATGCTCTCCGGGATCTCAGGGATGTCTGTGAGGAGAGAGGGATCACCACGGAGACATGCCCCCAGCCTCCAGGAGCTCAAAGCCCTTCCTGCCACCCTCAGAGTCCACCCCAGACCCGCCCCAGGCTCCACACCATTCCGAGACACGTCCAGCTCCACCAGTTGCATGAAGTTGGCCACCTCAGGGGGCAACCGCTGGATCTCGTTGTCACTCAGGCCCAGCTTGCGCAGGTTCAGCAACCGAAAGAAGGGCTGTGGGCAGGGGGTAGGATCAGGGGTGACGGGCCCTGTAGCAGAAGGCCCCTCCCTGCTCCAGGCCACACAGGAACCCCAGGTCCTGTCCCATCACCCTGGTCTGCAGTGAGAAATGCAAGGAAACAAAAACAGATACACACACATCTTCCCGCACTTCTGACTTTTGTCACCTCAGAGTCACCCCCCCCATACAACATTACCACGTGACTTACCTTACGCGTTCAAGTCTCAGCCAGAAAGTCACTTATTTTTTCTGACCTGATGAGTCCCTGCTCCCTGCTCTCTGTGTTCCCTCAAGGCTCCACCCACCCCCTGAATCACCTCTTCCACCCACCCGGCAAGTGGGCCCTCCAAGGCTTGTGGTGGTTTCTGCTACTGCACCCCAGCAGCCAATGCAGCCTGAGCCCATGACAAGAACTTAGCAACTACCAAAAAAAAGTATAAAGAAAACAGGAGAGGGCCACAGATACGGGCTGCACGCGCGCAGGGGCTGCAGGCAACGTGTGGTGGGACCTGGAGGTAACCGTGAGGAGCCCTGGTCCAGGCCCAGAACGGAGCCACACCCTTTGTGGCACGCAGCCCCCAAGCATTAGGCCACTTTGCACCCCATCTCCAAAAAGGAAATCCTTTTGTGGCCTGCTTCCTTTAACCTCCTCTCCCAAGTGGCCTTAAGAGGAGGAAAATAAGTTGTTCAGAGGGAACAAGGCAGCGGGAAGTAGACGGACTACAGACCTGCCAAGGACAAGCACCTTAAGACGGCTGCCCCTGACCCCACCCCAGCACCCAGGAGGAAGAAAAGAGCAGTCCGGACAGAAGCGTGGCCTCCCCACCTCCAGAGCAGTCCAGCAAGTTCCTATCCGTCAGTCACGCCGGGTTCACCTTCCACCCTGATGCACTCCAACCCCATCCACCTTCCCCCACGGCCTTCAATCTGCAGCTCCACCTCTAGGCTGTGACCATCCCCGCCCCCAGGCAGGCACCCGATGACCGCTGCCACCTGGTGCCAGCGCCGGCGGTGGGTGAGGAGGGTGGGGCTGGCCGGGGTGGGGCTCTGGCCAGTAAGAACCATCAGGGCCGATTGGAGACTGCGGCGTCCCGCCCGGGCCAGCGCCTGCTGAGGGCTCAGAGGAGCGGGCTGTCGCAGCCAGGCCGAGCCCGCCGACCCGGTGCGAGGGCTGGGCCGGCGGCAGGTCCAGCGGCCGCTCACCTTGGGCAGCTCACGCAGCTGGTTGGCGTCGAGGAGCAGCTCCTCCAGGCTGCGGCTGTAGCGGTAGATCTCCTCGGGCACGGCCTGCAGCGAGCAGTGCCGCTTGTCCACCGACTCCACGTGCCGGTTGCAGCGCCACAGCGGGATGCACTTGAGCATGGTGCGGGCGGGCGCGGGCTCAGGCGACGGGCGGGGGGCGGGGCTCGGCCCGCATGAGCGCCGGGCCGGCCC